TACTGAGAAATCTTCGCTAGAAGTTTAAAAAAATTCAAAATTTTCAAAAGGATTTTCAATTTAATTGATTCTGATTGATTCTGATTGGTGAATATTGGGCTCCGGAATCAGATCGGAAAGGATCTACAGTGATCTACAGCTCGAGAATCGCGTGTAAAAAATATTCCAAAAGAAAAAAATTCCCGTAAGTAATTGATTGTACTTTGCAATACTCATGTACTTTTTGTATTTTGCTCTTAGGTTAATTTGCGATGCTGCCGCAATGTAGTTATTCAGAATCGAACGCTTAAGCTATAGTGGAGGGTGAACAATCTATGAACACAACTGATCTTATCATTATGGTCCTTGTGATGCTGCTACGGTGGCTTACGCAGGATTGGTCACTCGAAGAAGCTATTAGCAAGGGTGATTCGATTTATGAACGCATCGTGACCTAAGTAAAAATAAGGCCTACTGTTTCTAAAGAGAAATGATTATGGTTACGTTCCTTATTTGTTGGGAAAATATTACTACTTAATGTCAGCGACATTAACAAGATTTTTTATTATAGACAGAGGATAAGGAAAAGATTCTAGAAACTCAAGATGAAGACTAATTCTATTGAACAGATAAACGTGTTGCAAGTAAGTCTACTCATGGTATGTCTTTATAGTATTTATTGCGATATAGGTTCACGAGTTAGTTATAACAATTACTACTTGTTTACTAATGTATATGTTACGGGTCAAATTGGTTTTTAGGTCAAGTTAAACTTGACCCAGGTCAAATTGATCAATTAAAAAACCCGGCCGGCATCAACATAATTTAGGCCCACCCTAACCCTAAAATTCTGCTAGGGATCAATTTGACCCGGGTCAAGTTTAACTTGACCTAAGAACCAATTTGACCCGTAACATATATATGAGTATTGTTGTTTTTCAAATTTCGTCTGACAAACAATTTTTTTGTAAATTTCGGTATATAGGCGATTTGAAATTAATACCCATATCCGTGTATATCACACATATATTACTATATATATATATATGTTATATTATATAAATGAATATACTATTATATTTTTTAATAAATATTTAAAAAAATTTTTTTATTGTTTTATGATAAATTTTATTCTGCTTTATTATATTATATATTTTTATATAGAATACTAGAGTCTGTTTACAGTATTTAGTGTTAATAATATCAAAATCAGAATTTAGGTGTACAGACAGACGAACATTGCGAACGTAGAAAAGAAGGGTTCTTCACTTCATTCCGGACTAATAATATCATACAGTATATGAGTGACGTGTAAATCATTTCACTCATTATCAGTAAATTATATATACCCTCAAGAACTCCTCAGGGCAAGGTTGTTATTAGACAATGTCTAATAAAAAAAGTCATTAATGTCTAACGCTAAATGCTTTTTTTATATGTCTAATCGGCCACAATTTAACAACCTTACCTCAGGGTATAACGATAATAAGTGAAATTATTTACAGGTTTTATCTTTTCCGTCATTCATAATATTAATATATATACTATATATACCCCCGAACACAGATATGAGTTAAAATAAAACGATCATATTAATAAATACATACTTGTGCTACATAGTAATAAATCTGCGATATGATATATACAGGGCAACTCTTAAAGATAAGACTCAGGTATGTACAGTACGTACGTATCAGGAAAACTAGCATTTATACATGATATATTTCTCAATGATACTTCCATAACACCCGAACATTTTAGCCCAAATTTACACTAATTGTTATGTAATACGTACGCACCGAATTTGTGTAATGTATCTGGGCTAATTTTGTTTGTACAAAATTTAAAGGGTAAAAGGTATTAACCGTTAGTGGTCGATTTTGTTGATGAAAAAAGTAATCGGTTAGACGCAAATTCTATTGTCGTTATGTGATTTTTTTAAATTTAGGGTGACGTACACATCAAAAAATTATATATCATGCAATAAATCAACTATAAATTCTGAAATTAAACATGATTATGTCATTCACGTGACTTCGGATTTTTAATTAGCCAGCTGATCGTATCGACAATCGAACCCTTAACTGGATTAAAAAAAATTAAATTTTTTGCAATGAAAACAATTGGATGCTAATATTATCTATATAAGTTAAAAATTGCACGTATCATCATAAATTGTACTCATCATTAAAACTTGTACATACATACATTCCAAGCATGGATGAACCACAAAAAATCCTCAGAGTATCTATTCTTCTCGCAGGTACACCGATACCAGAGATAATCGAAAAATTTGGGCATTATGGCAAACAAATTTCAGATCTTTTGCAAAATGCTATTAATAGTAGCGAGTAGAAACTATCGTTGATAATTAAAAATTATGATGTAGAAAATATGGAATTTCCTGAAGAAGACGACTTGCTGAAAACGGATGGCATTATAATTACCGGATCTGGTAATATTAATTAAGATTGCATTTTAAAAATATTTTATTATGATTATTATTATTTATTTTTATTAATAATTTAATTAGCTTCATCAGCTTATGATGATATTCCATGGATTAATCGCCTCACTGATTTTACGAAACTTATTATCGACAAACATCAACATATTAAATTAATCGGTATTTGTTTTGGTCACCAAATTGTAGCCAGAGCCGCAGGTGGCCAGGTTATTAAAAACCCATTGGGTTGGGAGGTGAATTGATTTTATTATGTAATATAATGTTCTAATATCCCAGGATTAATAATCTCTTATATTTTCACAAGATTGGTGTAACAGAAGTTTCACTTACTGACATTGGAGAAAATTTTTTTAAGATAGACAGTAAAGTTTTGGTAAATAACAATATTATTATTTGTATTTTATTTCAAATAAAATTTTAACTTGAAAGTATATTTTTAGCGTATTAAGCAATTTCATCAAGTATAAACACATGATTACATATGATTTATTTTTATGCATTTCTATTGATATTAAAAATTAATTTACTTCTTTTATTATTTAACTATTTAGGATCATGTGAATATTTTGCCTAACAATTTTCATAATTTAGGGTTTACTTCAAAATCTCCATTTCAAGGAATGATAAAAGAAAATCAAGTCTTAACAGTTCAAGGTCATCCTGAATATGTTGGTGAAACAGAAAAGTTATTAATTAATGCTCGATTAAATCAAGGAATTTTTACTCCAGAATTTGCACAAGCCGGGTTGAAAACTGCTGATTATGAAGATGATGGATTATTAATTGGACAAAAATTTATTGAATTTATGATTGGTTATAGTGATCCTAGCCAATCAAAAATTTTCGACCGGCCAAATCGATGAAATTTTATCGGCTTAGTCAAAAAATTTTAAATGAATCATAGTTTAAATAACTTCCTTTTATATTCGTAATTTATAACTAGTGTTTCGATTATATTTTAGACAAGCCATTTGGATTCAATCAAATCCGGATTGAGTCTGCACTAGATTAGTTTTGAGCGCATCTAGGGATCAGTCCGTCCCAGTTGGTCCCAGTCCTTGTAGGACTGATTTATAATGTTTATTAGTCCTGTCGGTCGTATTTTGGTCCTAGAATCGGTCTCACGACTTATTATTTTCAATGCATAATGTTAAAATTTTTATTGATAAGCGGCCAAATTTTAATAATAATAAAAAATGCAGCACATATAAATATGAATGGTATCTAATTTGAAAATTCCTTTTTGAAACCAACTTTTTAATAGAATTGCTCTTGCAACTTTAATGTTTATTTCACTTGAAATTGGAACTTCAACACCTACTTTATTACTGTCATCGCTCATGGTTGGAAAGGGCAATGAAAATTTTATTATTTATATGTGCGTTTTATTTTCTTGATCGGTAATCAGGATCAGGAGACCGAGAATCATTCGGTCTTCAGTCTTTTACGGTCCAGTTCTAGTATTTACGAAGACCAATCCATCCCTAGGCGCATCCAAAAAATGATCTCTGATTCGAATATTTGATATTGTACTTTTTAACTAGACTGGTTCTTAACCGGTTGGCTTATCGTTCAACTGATAGTTGACCTGATAGTTGATTTTTAACCAACCAATTCTCAACTAATTGGCTTATTGTTTAACCAATAGTTGACCCAAGTCATGATTTTTTAATGGTTCAGATCACTAGTTACGCGTTTTGATGTACTTCTAAAACCGGCTTAGCCAATTTTTTTAATTTCGACTAGCGCTAGGATCACTAATTGGTTAATAATTTTATTTTATTAGTCAAACTATATCGATATATAATAAATGTTTAGTAAGGGAAGTGATAGTCACATGTATACTTATATAATCGTGGTCATTTGAGGATATGACACTTCTCTAATACATTTTATTGAGGTTAAATCTTTCTTTCATATTACACAATTGGGATGTCCTATAGAATATAATGATCACGCGATATTCCGCGGAGTTACTCGCTTATTCTGTAAAATGGTTTCTGTTAGTATAAAATTCAACTAGATACTTTTTAAAGATTATACAGATACGGAGGCGAGGCAGTCTCGTTTTTAGTGAAAATATTAAAAACGCTATTTTTGATCTTCACCCGCCACGTGTCACGCGTAGCAATGTCTGCTTATGCTTCGGATCATAACAGTTTCCATTTCTAATAATAATATTTGCCGAAAGTTAAAATTTAATAGTAAATATTCAAACTTCAAATGCGTAGCACGTAATTTATTATAAAGTTTATATTTTATTTTTTAAAAAATTTTCCAAAATAATTCTACTGCTAAAAAAACTAATCATAAAAAAAAAAACAATAAGCTAAAAAAACTAAACATACATAGAAACAACGTTAAAATGTTAAATATGAAAAATAAAATTCATCTAATATTTTTAACAGAATTCTATGATGATATGTAATTGAATTGATATATACATACACTTCCTAAAAACGGAAATCTAGTAAAACGAATGTTCTTTTTTTTACAGCTTTGTATCAATTGAATGCTTCTCATATTTTCTATAAAATAAGTAAATTTGATCGATGTGAAAATTTATCATTATAATAATAAATGTGTGTAAAAAAATTTTCTACTATGTCATCGACTCCAAAAAAGGTATTAATTTAGATTTTCTGCAAAGCATCAATGATACAAATTTATTTTTACATTTTTAACCACCCTTTGTGCGCATAAATGAATACTTACATGATTAAGTAGTTTAAATAATTGCATGAATGAAATTATTGTTTAAGAAATTAAAATGTATGCATGCCTGTGGACGCCTGAGAGTATAAGAGTAAATAATAATATATATATAAATAGGCAGTAAATGAAGAAAACATTAGTAATAGTTGCACTGGCAAATTTATAAACCTGGAAAATTAATAGGGCCATACACCAAAAATATCATGAAATTCTATTTCATTAAACCAACACATATTTGAAGTTACGTTCAAAGTTCCTAATTCCATGTGATGATGAATTAAATGTGTTTGCTCACAGGAGAACCAGTCTTCTGCTTTTTGAAAAACCAGATCCAAACATGAAATTGATCTTTGACAACATAATTCAAGAAAAACATTTAATGAATCTGTTGTCACTCTAAAACAAGAATCAAAATGAAGTGAATTCAATTTTGAAGAAATTGTTTGACCTAGTAATGCCATTAACTCGCTAATTTCTATTTTGAACTCTAAACCTAACACATCCACTTTTTCTAACTGTGTACATGATCGAAATATTGAAGGCAAGTGTCTAATTGTTTCACTTGTTGTTGGAATTTTAAGCTTTACTAAACGCGGACAATTTTCTATTATTGCTAAATATAATAAATTTTCATTATCTGTATCATCCTCATAAATCCATTTTAATAATAATTCTAAAAGTCGTCCATTAGTATTACGAATAATAGTAGCAAGTTGAAAAATATTAATAGTATCATCAATTTCAATTTGAATAATGGTAAGTTGTTTAAATGCTGAAGATTTTATAAAAGGTTCTAAAAAATTTTCTTCAAATTCCTCAAATTCTCTACGTAAATCTCTCCAAATTCTATCAGGTTCTTCCGTTATTTTTAATGATTTCAAATTTTGACAATGTGAAAACATATCTAATGGAAATAAACCTCCATTCATTATGTGCAAACAAGAAAGTGATTTAACTTTATCTCGAAGTGCTTTTATAATTTTCGGAATACAATTATCTGTTCTCTTTATTGTTAATGATTGTAAAGAATCAACTTTATCAATAAAAGATGCCAATCCATCATTATCATCATATCGGCAATCTATATCTAATTGATCAAGTGAGGAAAATGTTGAACCGAGATATTCGAAAATATCTGATGGACAAGAAGTATAACAACCTAATTTATCGAGATGTGAAGAAGTTGGAATTATATCTGAAATATTACGTAGATATTGAAGTTCACCTTTCCAAATAACATTTCGAATTATTATACTATATCTCAAACTAGGACATAGAGAAATAAAAAGTTTCAATAATTCTCGATAAAATAATTCTTGCATTTGTTCATATTTTTGAATTTCTGGATCATTCCCATTAACATTATCTAAGCTATCAAGATCAAATCTACCAAGTCTTTTAAGTCTACTATTCGAACCAGAATTAGCAGATACCCAAAGAGTAGCCGCTTCATATATAGATGTTAATTCAATTTTTCTTAAAAAAGATGCATAATTAAATAAAGTAACTGTATTTGATAGTGAAGTAGTTGGTCCTATTCCAGCATTTTTAAGTAAAGTTTTTGATCCATTAGGCATACATGCAACATAGATCTGAATTAATTTATAATATGATGGTATTCCCATAGGTTTATTGAGAGTTTCTCTCCAAATTAAAGAAACCGCATTAGCACACCATTGACGATTTACCAATAACACACATGGATATAGATCGCAATCATTAATATTGCAAAATATTTTTTGTAGAACTTCAGGTGGGAGTCGATAAACCATATTAAAAGTGAGAATGGAATGATGTGAGACAATCAGGTGTTCTGATCCCGATAGAAATAAATATTACTAAAACTGTGACACAAAATAATTGGTCACAGAAATTCCTAATTCTGAATATAATACTGTAATAATATATATATGCATAAAGGCATATTATTAAACTGCCGATCTTTTCATTACAAATTCACTTGATAATTGGATCGTATTTCTGTAATATGTTAATTCCAGTTTGTAACGATTACCGATTGAATGTGCAGAAAATATTAATGTTTCTGAATATTATTATTATTCGCAAATTACTATTATGTGACTGAAGTGAACTTTGTCGTAATGGATTTGAGTTTGGGAGGTAATAATGTTTAGGTAAGTTATACAGTAGAATTTAGGATTAGAATAAATTTTACTATGTTGACCATTTTATCACTTACCATAAAATTGCTCCGTAATTGTTTTTTTTCACAAGATTCATCATTTCCTTTTTCTTTTGCCCAAAACTTATATCTGAATACTGTATTAAACCTACCCGATTTTACTCATTTTGACCTTTGAAAATGAACAGTATATCTATTTGTATATTTTATAAAATGATAGATATGAGTATCCAGGCTCATTCGAAAAGAAAATATTACACGTATAGAATATTTTTCTGAAAGTTCCAGTGAGTGCTTTGTAGTGGGTACGAGGATGTGACAGAGACCAGCATAAATTTTGATCTAAACAAAAATTTCCTAATTTTTTAGTATTGGCAAATTTTAACATTGGCCACATGGCGAAATTTAATTGGTTATTATTGTATACAAAAGGGGGACGTCTAAAGCGGAGTAGATTCTTATATATTTTATTGAATTAACTTTAGGGTTAGGGTTATCGTAGATTAAGGTTTTAGATGTGCAAAATTGCCTACCATAGGTAGGTTTAGACTGCTGTTTTTTGTATTTTTCAAGCTTTTCGCTTTTCTTATGCGATCGTCAAAATTCTATTTGATTGATCGTATATCACGTGATTATGCTTTAGGTTGCAGCACATATCGATATGAAATATAGGATTATCTAGATGGTTTGTAAGAAAAGACAGTTTTCGCTTCTAAGCTAACGATTATATCCTAAAATAAAACTGACATTCTTCATATTACCAAAAATTTTTATTATTTCATATTTTTAAATAGTCTATATTTTTCCTCTTACACTAAAACCTTTGAAATATCTTGAATTGAAATGATATTTTTAAAACTACGTATTAATGAAATCATGATTGAAATTTGATTGGTTGACATGACCAATTTACAAAATATATATTTACGTACTGTATATTAACACATCTAGAAAATTTAAATTTAAAAGGGTAGTATTAATAGCATTTACTCATAATACCTTTAATGACCAGTAGAAATATGAATAGTTAAACACCTCTTAATGATTGTGTGAATTATGTATCGAAGTACAAAGATAAAAATATTTTGATACCAAAAGCTTCAGAACTCAAATCTACTTTATAAAATCATCCTTCGGCTGATTTTTATTTATTTATTTTATTTTTAAATGTTATGAGACATTTCAGCCTTCACCAAACCCGGACAATATAGAAAATTTGGCCAATTATA